CAAGCGTCACGGCTGGGAACCTGCTCACTTTCGTAGGTCACCACTTCCACCCAAGCCCCTGGCGGATATAAGGAGTCCTTAGAGAGAAACCTGGAGCCCTCCCCAGGGGACCCCCAAGGGCCCGAAGGCTCCTCTCCTGGCTGCCTGGGGTGTTCCTCAGCCTGGCTCCCCTGGTGACAGGTGGGCCTGGTCCCCTCCAGTGCCCGTAGGGGCACAGCTGAAGGTCGCTGGGCCCTGGGCCCTTTGTGGAGGGGTGAACCAGTAAGCAAGCAGAGGGGACTGGCCGGATGCCACACCCAAGGGGTTCTTTCACCAAGAAATTCTAGACAAACTGGAGTAAGAATCACAGCCCGAGGGCGTGTCGTTAGCCCAGTTTCGATGGACCCTCCCGTGCAGCACAGGCCTGCCCAGCCAGAGGCCGGCATGAGGACTGCTGTGTGTGGCCTCCGCCCGTGCCCCGCCCAGTGCCCTGCTCTAGGCACGGAGTCCACGCTCCACTGGGAAGGAGAGGGGCCCTGGGTTTGGCTCTGTGACCCGCCTGCCCCTCCCGCCTCACTGGCCTGGGCCGTCCACTGGCTCTCCCCAGGCTAAGGGTGGAAGGCTGTCCACCACAGAGGGTGCTGCCTGGGCCGCGGCGAGGACACACGGGCAGCTGTGGTGAGGCGGAAGCAGGCGTGGGTAGTGACTGTGACGGTGGCTGAGGAGGTCCTGGAGCACCGTCCCTGTGTGTCACGTTCCAGCCGTGCTTCTAGCTCTGGTTTTAGCGAGTGATGGAGCCACATTCTCCCCAGCCTCCCGCTGTATTAAATTCAACCCTTTTGCCGTTTCATGAATGCCTGTTGCAAATAGTGGGGAGATTCTGATAGTTGAGGGAACTGGCCTGGGGAGCTTGCATCTTCCTTGCCGGGCAGCAGACCGTTCCCCAGACTGGACACGTCTGACTTTCCCGTTGCTGCTGTGCAGTCTTCACCAAGGGAGGAGGCAGCCCCCACGTCAGCACTGGGCCAGCAGGTGAGCTCCGGGGACAGTGAGCAGACAGTGGGCACCCCCCACCTGGGCCCGCCTGCTGCCCAACGCTTACGGCCCGCCGGGTAAGCAGGACTACGCCGGTTACCCACAGCTCTCGCTGGTAAAAGGCAGATGGAAATGTTCTTCGTCTTACCGGGAAATGAGTTTGGTCCTTAGGCCGCTGTGTCCTGACCAGCCAGGGGTCCAGGCTGCCCTCACTGCACCAAACCCTCTCCTGTGTGCTGAGGGCTGTGAGCCTGGCAGTCACCGTCTCCTCCACGCAACTTAAGGAGGCACCTCCCCAAGGAGCCGGCACTTCTCACATGTGCAGGGTGGGGGTCACAGCCACAAGGCACGGATTGCAGAGGCGGCCACGTGAACGTCCCACAGGCTGTGCAGGACCGGGACGATTTGCTTCCTGAACCACCTTGTCCTTCAGAAACACAAGGCTTCCCAGACAGGCGTCGGTAGACAGTGTACGCCCTTGATCACGTCTCTTAACCTTTCTTCTTATGGTTGTAAGCTGTGCTGTGGATAAGGCCTCATTTGTAATTCTTGAATGTTCCCTATGACTAACAGTTACTAAATCGGTTGTGTATATGTGTGACTAATGTAACTGCCTTTTAAAATTTCATTACAATAAAAATGACTTTGCTCTGAACACTGAATAACCTGGGCCGACCTGGTAATTGAACACTTTGTGGAACCGACCTTTGGGGCTCGGGGTGGATCTCCTATCGCACGTCTTCCTAAGGGCTGTGTCATAGCCAGTAAAGGGTGAAGAGAAGTTCATGCTAACGAGTGGCCCATTTTTGGGGTCTAGCTACGTGGGATAGAAAAGGAAACTAACAATTCTTGGCCTTGTGTGTTAGGCAAGGCTGTCTAGAGGCTCTTTGCAAAGGCTGTTTTTATTAATCATTTCAAGCCTGTGCTATGGGGTCATTATTCCAAGTTTATAATTAAGAAACTGGGACTCAAGTTAAATGATGTACCTAAGAACACAGGAAGGAAATGGCCGGGCCAGGATTTGATCTTAGGTCTCACTCCAAAATATATATTGTCCTCTTCAAACACTCTTATTCTTTTTAAAATTCTCCCCAAATCATTAGTATTTTACTATGCTCAAACCTCTAGTAAATACTTACAAATAATAATCTTTCTCCATTGAACAAGGACTATTTAGAGTCTAGCAAAAGGGAAGAATAAAATCATTGGAAAACTTTTCTACCAAACACCTACCATTGCTAGATTTTTACAGCTTTATTGAGCTATTAATGACGTATAATGAACTGCACATATTTATGATCCACGTGGGAGAAAATTTTGTGACCTTGAATCAGGCATAGATTTTTCGATACTACACCAAAAGCATGATCTATAAAAGAATAAAATGATAGATTGGACTTCATACAAATTGCCAAAACTTTGCAGAAGATGCTATGGATGAAATGAGAAGATAATCCATTGGCTGGGAGAAAACATCTACAAATCATATATATCTGACAAAGGATATCCAAAATATGCAAAGAACCCTTACAACTTAATAAACAACTCAGTACAAGACAAGCAAAAAACAATGGAACAGACAAGTAGAATGTGTGCAGAGGTGAATAAGCACATGCAAAAACAGTGAGGTCACCAGTCATCACAGAAACACAAACCAGGCCACAGGGAGAAGCCATTCCGATCACAATGGTTAAAATTCAGACAGAACCGTGACGGCAGGTGTCCTCCAGGGTGCAGAGGCGCTGGAGCTCTTCCGCCCCCACCGTCCAGGACGCGCGGTGCAGCCACTGGGCGCGACAGGTAGTTCCTTACACAGCGTACACACTGACCGCATGACCTAGCCTTTCTTTCTGCAGGTACTTATTTGCTCAGGAGAAATGAACACACTTCCACACAAAGACTTGAATAGCAACATCTTACAGCTTTGTAGGTCACAGCCAAGAACCGGAAACAGCCTGAACGTCCGTCGACGGGTGAGTGGGTAAGCACATCATGGCACCTGCACGCGGGGCCACTACTCAGCACGAGAGGGAGCGCAGTGCAGACAGGCCGCGACTGATGGGTGTCAGACGTGGAGCAGAAGACGCCAGGCACAGATGTGTCCCGTGGCTCCATTCATGTGAAACTCCAGAAAATTGACCTCCACCGAGAAGGACGGGAAGATGAGTGGCCCTGGGGCTGCAGCAGGGGGTGTGAGTAAGAGGCACTGGGGAGCTTCCTGAGGTGACAAGAAGGTGCTGGATCTTGATTGTGGGGCAGTCCCAAAGGCGTAGTCAAATGGCAGGACTCATCAAACTGTTCACTTAAGATGGGCACTTCATATTGTGTGTAAGTTACATCTGAATTAAGTTGATACAGAAATAATCACAGGAGAGTTTTTTTGTGGAATTTGAAGAGGTGATCCCACTTTCCTATGGAAGAAAAAAAGAGAAATAATAGCCAATTAGTGTTGTTGAATAAGATATAAAATCAAAATGGAAAGGAGGAGGATGCATCATTCAACCTGCTGGGCATCAGGACACTTCACAGTTAACAGTGGGGGGCTGGCGTGGGGACAGTGAACACGGTCAGCAGAGCACAACGGAGAACCTGGGGACACTCATACTCAGAAAGGAGATGGTGGTCTGGGAGAGTCAGCATCACAGATCACAGGAACCAGACGGACTTTGAATAAATAGTGGTAGGAGAAAAGCACACAGGAAAAGCAGCAATTATATCCTCGTCTCACACCAGATACAAAATATAACATCCAGAAAATAAATTGCACATTACTGAAAACATCTGAGTATTAAAAAGCAATGTATGCAAAACATTTAGGAAAATACATTTGTGAAATAAAGTCAGAGAGGGATTTTTTAAACCAGGCATACAGGATGCAAACCATAAAATAAATTACTGATATGTTCGAACTCACTACAAATTCAGCTTAAAGAAATGTAAAAGATAGCCAATAAAGTGGCAGAAAATACGTGCAAATTCTATACCCAAAGAAGTGGTGTTCAGAGAGAATATTAAGAATACATGAAGGTTTCATTAAAGTCAATACAAAAAATACAATTCAATAGATAAATGGCCAAAGGGTTTGAATTCTCAATTCATAGAAATGGCATTAAATACATCAGAAGAGGGTGATCTTGATTATAATAGTCACGGGGATGGGCGTTCAGCATAGAGAACGTGGTCCGTCATACAGTAGCATCTATGTGGACAGATAGTGACCACACTAGTCAGGGTGAGCATTTAATAATGTAGATAACTGCAAAACAAAACAAAAAAAAAGAGGCTGAACCTCACTAGTGATTAAGGAAAATACCAAGTTAAAACCAGAAAAGAGGGTCACCAGATGGGTAACTGCAGTGGAGGACGTGGGGACACAGGCTCGTTCCTGCTGGTGGGAAATGGGGCAGTCGTGCAGGAGAGCGTCAGGCAGTGACCACGAGCGTCAAAGACGTCCAGACCCCTGGCCCCGTGACCCCGGGTGCGAGCGTCTATCCCCGGAAACCGGCAGGTGCACGAGAGGACAGGTCAAGGGAGATGCATTGCGCTGTCGTAAGAGTGGAAAAGTGGGAAACAGTCTAACCACCGTTCAGTGGAGAAATGAACGAGCTGATTGAGTCACACAGAGGGATTTGCTGCAGCTCTCAAAACGACTGTGTTGCTGCATGCAAAAATTCCAAAAACCTAATGTTGAACTAAGAATACTGTCCATGTTTTTATAACCCAAGGCAATCACGTATTTTGTTTGTGCATAAATAGATACGCAGTAAAGGTTTAACAAAACACCTCATGGACTGACAGGCACAATTCTGCCTAGAGAGGGTGAGAAGCGGGAGAGGCTTGTGCAGTTGAATTCCCCAAAATGCATGAAGAGAGGAAAAGGAAAGGAGAGAGGGGTGCAGGCAGGAGAGGGAAGGTCCCTGGAGCCATCACAGCGGATGCGTCACACTGTCCCACGTTGGTGACAGCGACGAGTGTGTCAGACTTCCTGCAGACGCACAGTGAAGCGGAAACGTTTCACACACACAAGTCAGTAATGAGAAAAGAGCAACTTCCTCTCACTGAGAAGGCAGGAACTGGAAATTCAAGTAATGATGAAATGGCAGTAATCGCCTTCAGTCAAATGGCAAAAACATAGAAGAGCTCCTGTCCCTGTTCCAGGTAAGGACACGTGTGAAGGGGATTTCTGGCGTATTTTTGTAGAAATGGAAGTTTTATGACTCATTTTTAGAGTGATGTAGCAATATCTGTTCATTAAAAGTATATCTTTGACCTGGTGATCTCAATTCTAGACATCCTTCCTGGTGAGATAAAAGCCTTGAAATACAGGTAGATGTGTAAGAATGTTTGATTGCAGCAATATTTACAAGAAAATAGTAAATTGAGGCAAAGCTCACTAATAGGGGGATGGGTGAGCGGGCTGGATAACCTCTAGTTCATTTTATATTTTAAAGTATTACCTCAGTATATTAGTAAAAGCAATAATGAAAAAGTATGAATATTGACAAATATTAACTCATTTTGATAATGCAAAAGCATACCAGGCAGGTTCATCTGTGACTACGTGGCTGCACATGTGAATATATGTGTACATGTTGAAAATGTGTGCTGTCCCCAGTAGGCTGTGTTTGTAGGTAGGAGAATGGTCACAGCAACCGTGAAAGCAGAAAGGAAGCAAAATGAAAGTGAGATGTTAAGCAGGCTGATTGGACAATTGCTCCGGTCCTATTGCATTTATGTACAGTTATTTATAAGCGTGCATTTCTGTGGATAAAAGATGTATGGAAATACAGCAATGGCAGCCCCAACGTGGTGGTGTCCGAGGCCAATTTCCTTTTCAGGTTTACGATCATTAATATTGTTTTACAAAGACTTTTTGTATTAACAAAATCATGAAAAATAATAAAAAGCGAACTGTCAGAGTAAGAAAGCAAATGATCAGTACTTTGGAATCATGAAATACTTGGGCATTTAGAAGCCAAGGGTGCAAAGAGAGGCGGGGTTGTGCAGCAGTCAGGCTGAGGGAAGAACAGGCTGCAGGGCAGGGACGAGAACAGGACTGAGGCCACATCCTGCCCCGCCCGGGCTCGCGGTGCACCTGCTGTTCATCTTTAAGCCTCAAAATAAACAACCGAACAAAAACATACTCTTGTCGTAGATAGAGCAAGAGTAATTTCTTTCCCGACTTTACCAATAATACATGCTCATTTTTAAAGTGGTGAGTGAAGGAACGCAGGCAGAATGGAAGATTTTATTCCAATTAACACTTCTTGGTGTTGGGCAGGGAGAGGTGAAGGGTCGGGAGCAGGACACGGAAATGCCTCTGCTGCCCAGGATGGCGGCCAGGAATCACCAGCAGACTCAGCCCTCACCTGCCAGCCTCCTCCCGGGGTGGGGGAGGAGGCTGTCCTCCGCCACTACCATTCTGAAGCCTACCAGTTGTTTATTTCCCCCACAAATCCTTCAAGCACATTCTCAGTAAACATTTGCATGGCACCTTCCACCTGCCAGGCACAGTGCTGGGGCTACACAGGGGACACCCGGCCTGTCCTCAGGACCCTGGGGATAAAATGAACGTCCCTGTGGCCAGGATTCTCCCCTGGCCCTGGTCGGCTAGCTCACTGCACACGTGTGGGCAATGTGTTGCTATTGACTCTATATAAAGAGTCCCGCCCAGTGCTCTGGGCCACACGGTGGCAGGGCTGCAGGGCTTCAGGAGAGCAGAGCAGAGGCTGGAGTGGTGGCAGCGCTGAGGACAGAGATTCAGAGGACGGCTGTGCAGGCAGAGGGGCCCAGAGGCAGAGCCCGGCTGGCTGCATGCAGACTCTGAGTGAACGGGATTCTAGTGACTGACCTGCCACCATGGAAATAAAGTTGGGTATAACCCTTTCATCCCAAGAACATTTTGCTGTCATTTCTTTGGTCACATGGAATCCATAGTGACCTTGCCCGGGGCTGAAACCCATTGGCAAGACAGACCCGTGCCCCAGGGCAGAGACGAGCAAATGGACATGACCTTCCGGAATGTGTGAGGGTTTCGGTAGAGGGCACCCACCCCACGCAGACGAGGAGAGGGGCGCCCAGCCTGCGCCAGCAGAGCGGGTGGGGGGCAGGGAGGGCGGAAGGGCTCCTCTGGGTGTGATCAGTGGACTTAACACTAGGTCCCAGGTGGGGCCCGTCAGAGATGGCGCCTGCCCACTGGGCCTGCAGCTCATTGGCTCAACCTTGGCAGAAAACACTTAATGGTCTCTTGTTGCCAAGCCCAGGGCTCTTCCAAATCATGAACTAGGTACGCCGTCCCTCAGCAGGACGCCAGACTAGAGTGACAGCCCTGCTTGCGAGTCTGCCCACGCTCGTGCCTTGAGCCAACTGCCGGCACCAAATGAAAGGCGGCAGGCCTGGCTGGGGACTGGAGGTGGTCCCGTGGCGGCTGTTCATCAGCAAGTGGGCATTTCTCCTCACGGAGTGCCTGAGAGCAGGGCCACGGCCCCTTTGCCCCTGGGGTCTGCACCCCGTCCGTGGCTGAGGGCAGGTGGGGCCGAGGACCTGCGCTGAGCCAGCAAAGAAGTCGCACCAGGGTTCCTGGTGTCTCCTCAGTGGGTTTCAGCCCCAGCAAGTTCCCTCTTGATTCAGTGAGACTGAGAAGTGACAGTGGGACGTTCTGGGGGTGAAAGGGTTTGTACCCAGCTTATTCCCACAGTGGCAGGTCCGTCACTAGAATCCCATCCGCCTCAGAGCAAGTCTGCACTCAGCAAGCCGGTCTCTGCCTCTGGCCTGTCCAATCTGCAGCCGTCTCAGCATCTGTCCTGGTTGCTGCCCCCCTCTCCAGCCTCTGCCCTCCTGCAGCCGTGCCACCGTGTGGCCCAGAGCACTGGATGGAGCTCTGTATGTAGAGTCAATAGCAACGTATCGCCCATGCGTGTGCAGTGGGCCAACCGACCAGGGCCAGGGGAGAATCCTGGGCACAGAAACTTTGGTTCACACCTGGGAACTGGGCATCCCGTGGACCCCCTCCTCTGAGTGGCGTGGCTGTTGAGGACACTGTGTAGAGCTGCTTGGCGGCAGCCATGGTCCCCAGTGCCAAGAGGGCTCCAGAGACCCAGTGTCACCGTTTCTCAGGGGCTCTGCCCACAGGCAGAAGGAACTCAGCTGGGGACCAGCAGGCCCTCTGCTGAGTTGCCAGGCAGGGCCAGGAGGCTCCTGTCAAGGCCTGGCTGTGCACGGCGAGGTCGGCAACTCCCGGCAGCTAGACAGGAGGGAAAGGTGACCGGGTGTGTGCCGAGGGGCCTCTCAGTGGTGACCTTGAGGGACTTAAGCCGGGTTCCACTCAGCACACGGCACAGGGCGTGGCCCTCAGCGAAGGGCCTGGAGTGCTGAGGGATTCATCTCACTCTGCGTTCCAGGCAGAGGCCCGAGCAGGCGGAGGCGGCTCCTCTGTAGTCCAGCTTCCCGCTCCCTGAAGGGGAGGCTTTACAGCGTGACTTCCGTTTTCTCCAGGGCACCCCGGTGAGATGGAGCTGTGCTGACCCTCTGTAGAGATGCTCTTTGGCTTGTGGGGGGCATCATTACTGCAAAAGACTGGAGCAACTCCCAGAGGACACGCCCTGCGGGCCCCAGGGGTCCCCAGGCTGTTATAGCTAAATGGAGAATGCTCAGACAGGAGGAAGCCTGACGGAGGGACCGAGTGGCCCCTCGTGTATGTATCGGACAGGAGGTCACCTCCAGTCCCTGGGCCCTGCTGCCCCCCTATCTCTCTCAGTCTGGTGGGAGCACCCAGCCTGGGCAGGGATGTGATGGGGAACCATTGTCCCTAGACCCAGCCTCTGGGGATCTGTGATCTGTAAGTTACAAACGGTTGATCTTAGGTTTTTCTTCCGTATGGGCCCAGTTTGGGTCGGGATCTGAAGAGCAGCAGGAGAGAGGACCACAGGTCTTGGAGGAAGAGTGGAGCAGTCAGGCTGACTGAGCCTAGAAAGAGCAGGCGTCCCCTTGTGTGTCAGGGAGAAAGGCCTGTGTCCTTTATCCAGTGTAGAGGGCGTCTGGGGAAAGCCAGGTCACAGTCACAGCACCAAGCACCCAAGCCGACGTGGGGAGCAGAGTCACCTAAGGGCCAGGGCACGAGGTGTGTGCTGGAGGGGGGCAGATCCCACATGAGGACCCTCAGCCACGCCTGCTCTGCTCAGGGATGCCCCGCGAAGGCCCTTCTCTCTGTGCTGAGAGCAAAGGTGGGAGAGGGCTTTCCCAGCTCCGGCAGGAGAAAGATGCACGTACTCCTGAGAACCCAGCCGGAGAGGGCGGGCGTGCCCGGAGGGCACAGGGCCGACAAGCGGCCGAGTGAGCGGCAGGGGCTGAAGTACCTCCTTTTCTGAAGAGGTGTGTTAGTCAAGCTATTGCCCCCTTTTCTGGTTCATAGAGAAAAACATACCGTAGGAGGGAATGAGGATGGTAGTTAAACATCATTTATTGAGATTCTTCCAGTGGCACACATTGTGTGTATTTTAGATAAAACTCACTCACACGCCATAAAACTCACCATGCCACCGTCCGTGGTTAGTCTATCAACAAAGTCGTGCCACCATCATTACCTGATGCCAGAACATTCCGTCACCCCGTAAAGAACCCCTGAACCTCTTAGCACTCCCTGCCCAGTCCCCCACCCCCAGGTGATGAGGTGGCATGCCAGCTGGTGGGTGCGAGGCCGTCCCCAGCCCGTGCGTGCCCGGGACTGCTCCCTACCCCTCTGACCCCGGGCACTGGCGGCTCTCACTCATCAGGACTCTGCTGACGGCTCCGGGGGCTTCTCTGAGGATGTCCCCCGGAGTGTGCACGTGGCCGTCTCCCTGCTGACCAGGCCCTGCAAACTCGAGCCTCCCGGCTTCCCTGGCCTTCAAGCCTCATTTCTTCAACTCAGGCTGAGAGGTGCTGCCTGGATTCTCTGCGACCTGGAACCTCAGGTAAGACCTGGACCATCTCAGCGCTTCTCCCCCCCCAGGAGTCCCCAGCCTCTGTTACCTGCTGCTTCCTGTCTGAAAACCACGATTGTATACATTGTATCTGTCAGTAGTTGATTCAGGTGGGAGGATAAATCTGGGCCCTGTTTTTTCTTCGGCTTATTTTTTTGGAGTCAGGTGGGTAGGTCCTCTGAGGTCTGTGAACGTGGCCTCGGCGTCTGATGGCAGGGCCCTGTTTCCTGCTGCTCTGGTCTGAACCCCAGACCCTGCCAGTCGGCTGCTCTCCTTGCCCCTCAAGCCCCCACGCTTAGAGCTCCTGGTCTCTGTCCACGCCTCACTCCCCTGTGGGGACCTGAGCAGCTCGAACCACTTGCGCCCCATCCCCCTGCCCTCGCTCGGCCCCCTCGTACCCCTTGGCCCGTGCTGACTGTGGGGGAGACGGAACTCGGCAGACGTCCCCCCACAGACTTGCTGCCACAGGCAGTTTCTCTCTCTTTTTGTTTCGTTTTTCCCAGTTTGGGGTGAGGGCGGCACTCTAAGCTCCGTAAGGTCAGGGACCTTCGTTTTGCTCAGATACATCCCAGCCGCTGAGGATATTCCCAGGCACCTGACACATACGCAGAATTGCTGAATTCATGGATTGTTTCTGAATTTCCCTCTCCCACCGGCCAAATGCCCTCAGATGTCTCTTCCTGTTTGCTAAGAACTTCCTCTACAGCATGACCCCCTTCTTCCCATAACAGAGCACGTGACCCGGGATGTCCGCCACCCTGCCTCTCCTTGGGGCCATGTTCCCACGTGCCAAGCTTCACGCAGAAAGGCCTGCAGAGGAAGGACAACACCGGGCCGGCCAAGACGGAAGACACGTTAAGGCTCGTGATGGGGCAGCTGGGTTTTCACTGTTAGGCAAGGTCGCCCACGTGATGAAACTGCACAGAGCCACGCACGCACACGCACGGGAGCGTTTAGGGCTGGCGAGAGCCCAAGAGGCCCTGTGGGCTGCCCCAGTGCCGATTTCACGGCTGTGACGTTGTCGCCCAGCTGTAAGGACATGTAAGATGCACACAAGGGGGGACGAGAGACGGGGAAGTCGCATGGGGCCTCCCTGTCCGTGTCTCTGCAACCTCCCGTGAGTCTATAATCATTTCAAAATGAAAAGTTTTTTTTAATGAGGCTACAGTGTAGTTTAAATGCAGCACATTTATAAATTACGAGTGTTTTCCAGTGCCTTCTTTCTGTCCTTCCTATCTTCTGGGCACGCTAATGGGAACCTGCTCCCAGCGCTCAGAGCCAGAGGGAGTCCTGATGTCTTTAAACAGATGCGTACAAGGGAAGTGGTATCGGCCGCGTCAGATGGCACAGCTGCCGGGCAGTCTCCCGCCCGGAGAGTGTCCACGGGCCTTGGGGCTCAGGAGTCACCTGGGACCCCGCGAGGGTCGGTCCAGGGGTGAAGCAGAGGCGGAAGTCGGGTGCTCTTTCCGTGAGGACCAGCCCCTGCAGGCTCTGCAGACCAGGATACCAATACCAGGACAGAGAGACAGCTTGGTGGCCAGACCTCGGTCACAAGGCAACGCTTAGATTTCAGAAACAAGGTCGGAGGAGTGGAATGAACAGCAGGCTCACCTGGTTCCAGCAGCTGGGCAGAGCCTTCACGTGCAAGTCTAGAGGTCCCAGCAGTGGGCAGGGGGCTGGGGGAAGGGAGCTGGGCAGGCCCTGTGGACGCTTCTGATGTACAAGCCCAAGTTCAAGGACGTGCAAGGACTGCCACACAATCTACAAGGATCCCGATTCAGGGACTCAGTTGTGCGGCACTTAGCCTCCAAGAGCGGCATCCTACAGCTGCCCTGAGAATGGAAAACGGGGCCTATGTGTGCTGTCCTTCCTCCGCCCAGTGGTCCTTATTGATCTCAGGGATAGCAGGGGTCCCAGGAGGCCTGGAAAAGACCCTCGTGTGCTTCTGCCATTTAGTAACAGGCCATAAGGCTTGCAGACTTTTGTGTACGCCCCTGACCCATTCATCCAGATCCTGGGAATTTATCGTATAATGCTTGATGAAAGGAAATGCTAAATCCACCAAATTCCTCATTTCAGTTATATTCATATAACGATTTAATATTAAACTCTGAATATTCCCCCTTTATCCTCTCTCCTACCCACTCTCCACTCAGGTAGCTGGAATAGCCTCTATGTATCTCGCTTCTCAGGGGAATAGAAAAGGCCTTCAAAGAGAAGTTGGATTACACGAAGACACAGAGAAACAACAGTCAAGTTGCTTTTGCAAGATCCAGCCCTCACTGAAAGTTTAAAAAAATTTCTAGGCCTTCTAAGATCTGGACATTTAAATGGAAAGTCAAGCTTGGAGTGCTGAGTGGGGTTTTTACTTCCCATTGAATCGGGAACACTCAGGATGACTAGCCGTGATCCTCCTGCCTGTGGGGGTTCACAACACATCACCCCAAAATATACCATTTTGGCCAAAAGGATTATTTTGAATTAAAGGTTCCTGAGAAACAGCCAGTGCAAGAGGGACCCTCTGACCCCCCTTTGTCCCCCTTTAGAGTAGGAGATAAACCTCCCATGTGAAACCCAGCCAGCCTGTACACAGGGCAGAAGGCGGCCTCACCAGAGACGGGGACTGTGGGGCTGGGAAGGCTGCACCCGCAAAACTGCTGGGGCTTCACTATTTCCTTCCCCAGCCCAGACCCCTGTGTCTTGTCAATTCCACACAAATCCATAGGTTTTTTATTTATTTTTTCAATCTAAAAGGTATAAGAGCTGCCTCCTGGTCGCTTTTTTGAGTCTCATGTCTCTGAAGGGCTCCCCTGTGTACGAATGAACTAAATCTGTTTTTCTCCTATTTGTCTGTGTTTTTATTACAGGGGGTCACAGCCAAGAAGCTAGGGGGTAGCTGGAAGATCACCCCCGAGTCTCACGCCCAGAAGGACGTGGGAGTTTGTTCGGCCAGCAGACGGGAAGAGCAGATTCAGAGCTGGCCAGCCTGGACCCCGCCTGCCGGGCCCTGGAGAGGAGCAGCGGGCGCCCTGCCCCTCAGGGCGCGCCTCGGGGCTCGCCCTCTGAGGGCTCTGGGCTCCCGGCAGACCCTCTTGGCTGCGTGCAGAGTGGCCCGCCCAGCCACCACACGCCTCCTCCTCCGTGCCACGCTCTCTCCCGGTGAGACCCACCCCCTGTGCCCCTCTGCCCCGGCTGTCCTGCCAGCACCCCACGGGCTGGGGCTCCAGCCCCAGGACCCCGTCTCCTCACGGCCCTGGGGGCTGTAGGCCCAGCTCAGGGTGCCGGCAGGGCTGGTTCCTGGCGAGGCTTCTGCCCGGCTTGCCGACGGCTGCCTCTCCCGGTGACCTCACGTGATCTTCCCTCTGAGCTCCTGCAGGGAGAGAGGGCTCCAGGGTCCCCCTCTTCTTATAGGGACACCAGTCTTGCTGGAGTGGGACCCCACGTAGGATCTTGGGAGATGCAGTGCAGATCACAGCACACAACCCACTCCCGTGCTTTTGCTCACCCCAGACCAGCCTGTCTGCGCTCTCTGCCCCACCCCTGCCCCGGCAGCGAGACCCAGGCTGGCTTCCAGCGATTTCCTGCCCCACCTGCCCCAGGCGACGTCTCCCATTTTTTACCCTGGGCGCCCTGGGAGCTTCTAGGATGTGAACTTTCTGCCTTGATTCCTGAGATCTGTGGGCTTGCGTTTGCTCCCTTCCTGGACTGGGAGAGGCCTGGAAGCAGCTTTACTACATCTTTAACCACCACAGCACCCAACCCGGTTGCTCGATAAGCATTTACTGAAGTTTACTCCAGAGGGGGAACCACGCTATCGCCGAGTACGTGTTCCCGAAAGGAAGAACGCATTCTCAGTTCCTTAGCCAGTCCTGAGTAAACTTTCCCAGGACGCTCTGAGCTGGCAGAGCGGTGTTGGAATATGTGCTAATTCAGGCTGAGTTTCCAGCGGCTCCTGTCACAAGTCACCACGAAGATGCGGGCATGCACAGCGTACGTCCATCTCCTACAGTTCTGGAGGTCAGAAGTCCAAGCCCTGTCTCACTGGGCTGGAATCAAGGTGCCAGCAGGCTGGCTCCTCCTGGAAGCTCCGGGGAAGAATCTGTCCCTGGCCCGTCAGCCTGAGCAGGCTGCCCACAGTCCTTGGCCCCTGGCCGGTCCTCAGAGAGCTCCCACCTCTGCTCCCAGTGTCACACCTCCACTACTTATTCTGACCCCCCTGCCTCCCCCTCCTGCAGGACATTTCGATCCCAGTGGCCCATCCCTGTAACCCAGGACAATCTCCCCTCTCAAGGTCCTTAAACTCAATCTCATCTCTGAAGTCTCTCCTGTAGCCAAAGGGGCCATAGTCACAGGTGGGGCTGAGGGTCGTCAGGTGCCTCACCTGCCACGGGACTGGAGTCGTGTTATGCCGAAGCAGGGCCGTCGCAGCGTCAGTTACATCAGGGCAGGGCCTGCGCTCAGGTTTCCCTGCAGGCGGAGCAGAGCGCTGGCCAGAGCCAGGGACGCTGCACTGGGCTGCGATGCGCCTCTACACCGTCCTTCAGCCCCAGTGTTCCCAGGCACAAGGTCGTGGGCACTGCTTCCTGTCACTCGGGGGCCCCTCCAGCCCCTCCCGCCCGTCAACCTGGGCTTTAAACCTCTTCTTCCCTCTTTTCCCTCCAATGCACGTGCTGACCTCGATGATGGTTAAGTGGGCTTCACAGGAGAAGCAGTTTTTCCTCCCGGCAGCCTTATGAGGGCCTCTCACTCCAAATGCAAACGACTCAGGCTGGGTCTGATTGCAGCGCGACTGTGTGTGTTCCCTGTCCTCCGGTTACTCACGCCAGCCATGCTGCTCAGGGACGTGGTGCCGGCCTCTCGGGCTTGCTACTAGTCAGCAAATGCTGGGGGGCCCCGGTGAGGACAGGACTCCCCGTGGTGAGGGCCGCAGAGGGTCCGGTGCCTGCTGTCCTCAGGCCCGTCAGCCTCCCGGCGGCCTGTCAAGCCTTCCAGCTCTGGTTACACACGGTGGCTTGCAAAGCGTCCGTTTGCAAATGCGATTGGCCCACATCTCTTCTCAACACCCTTCAAAGCTCTCCTGGGGGATCATACTCTTCAGCAGGTGTTCAAGGCTCACCGCCACCCTGGCTTCCTGGCCTGCTGCTGTCTTACTCACCTCCGGGTTTCGTTCCGTGCCTGTGCGGCCACCACGCCGTCTCCGGCCTTCATCCTTAGATGGATGTGCCTTTACCACTCAGCTTGGGTGTGGCCCCTCCAGGGAGCCTCCTCTGGCCCCATGCCTGGAGCATCCCCTCTCCACACTCACACACACTCGTGCACGTGCACGGGAGGCACCTGTCGGGAATTATCTCCAGAGGGGCCCCATGAGGGCAGCGACCTGGTCCAAGTCCCCCACGGTGCTCAGCACCCCATGGGAGAACAGGATTAAAATGAACTCAGGAGGCTGGTGTCCCGGCAGAAGACACCAGGCTGGCCCTTCCCTGTCCCTCTTACAGGAGCCCCAGTCCTCTGATGCCTGTCACAGTGGCTCATAGCCCCTGCAGCTTATTAAAAAAATCTTAGTAGTAGCTAAGCTCTTGAGCCGGCAAGTCTAGAACTTGAGAAACTGCCAGAAAAGGGCAAATGCGATGGAAGCTAATGTTCATTACTCACCATCAGCATTTGTTTTTCAGTCTAATGGGTTCCTTGATGAATGGTGTTGTTAAACATTTGGAAAAAATATAAAAACAAATTAATGCGATGTTCTCTAGCTCCCCACATCCCCGCCAAACTTCATGTGTAACATAATACCCTCGTGGCGTCTGAGGAGGGTCTCTGCTCTTCGCCCACCCCCTCTGAGTCCTGGGGAGAAGTTCACAGCCTGGTCTGAGCCAGTAGTTCTGACGAAGCGCACACTGATGTCACTGACCCCACGAAGATGCGCACGGGACAGTCACCACCTCCTGCTGAAGGCTGATGCGTAATCCCAGAGAGCTGTTTTATTTATTTACTCATTTCCTCTAGGCCCTGCCCTCAAAGGGCTTGGAAACTGAAGAAGTTTAAAAAAGAGACAGAGAGAAATTTTCCTGCCTGATTCTGGGCTCAGCTGATGAACGAGGCAACCAGCAACGGATCAATATTGCTTGTAATAAGTGTTCGGCTGTAGCTACCACTTGCCGGCGCTAAATGCTCTGTAATTCATCCCTCGTGGTACCTCGGTGAGGGAATGACCATAATCCATATTTTACTGATATGGGAGTTGAAGCTCATTCTAACCAACTTCCCCGAATGCTAGTGGCAGAGCCACGCTTGACCTGGGTCTGGCCTGGACTTCACAGCCATGCTCTTAGCCCCTGGGCTCTGACCGCCCCCATCCACACGCCCTCTGCTTCACGTCCTAACGCCCCCGGCCGTCTGATGCTATCACCTCTCTAATCACCCACCGTGCTTCTGCCAAGCAGCCAGCCCGTTGCCTCCCCCGCAGCTCACGCCTGCTCCGCTCGGAAGGACGGAAGGACGGAGCAGCCTCCCCAGGCGGGTTCAGATCTGTGTGTTCTCCCTCCACCCGTTAGTACCGGTTCTGCCCCCAGGGCCTCCCAGAGCCACCTTCCACAGGCCAGCCTTTGGGATGTCTGGAGGCAATATCCCAGCCCGGGGCTGTGCCAGGACAAGGGACCCAGCCCAGGGACTGTCACAGTGGCCAGCATGGAAGCTGAATTTGGAGAAGGGCTGGTCACCAGCGCAGGGTAGCTCCCAACAGCACTGCTTCTCCACGGAAGGCCTTTCATGAACCGACACCCCAGTTCTGCACCTGTTTTCTTAAGTGGACAGAACTCAGGCCCATCTCCCCATGGGGTGAAGGTGGGCAGGGCTATTCCCATAATTGCATCCGGAGACACACTGCGGGTGCGGGGGACCCCGACGGGGCAGGGGGCTGCAGCACGGCTTCCACGGGACAGTCCCTGGGCTGTCCCCTCCGCCCCCATGGCAGCAGAGCGGAAATGCAGTGGCCGGACCTCGTGGGTGCCTCTCAGCCCCGCTCCCATCGGGCAAGGCCTGGGTGCCCCCGGATGTGACCGCGTGGCTCGGCGTTCCCTCCCCTTGTTCCTTTCTTCTGCTCCTGGGTTTTGTGGAGAAGAGTTTAAGATGGGACAGCAAACATTCTCTGCAAAAGGCCAAAAGTAAGTATTTTAGGCTTTGCGGGCTGTATAGTCTCTGTTACCACTACTCAGTTCCTCCCCTGCTGCCAGAAAGCGGCCATGGCCGCAGGTGATGGGTGAGCTGCTGGTCAACAAAACATGACTTTAAGACACCAGAATCTGAATTTTATATAATTCTAGTGTTCAAAATACAATTTTTTTCCAAATATTTAAAAATTTGAAAGTCATTCATAGCTTGCCAGCCATACAAAAACAGGCAGAAGTGCACATTTGGTCCATGGACCAGTTTTCAGACCCTCGGTCTAAGAAAGTTTACTGACCCTGAGTGTTAGCTGGGGTGGGACTCTGGCCTGTATGGTTTCCCAGGGGAGTCTTGACCCCCAGGCTCCGAATTTGGGCCACGTGGGGCAGGCATCCTTGGTGGCCCGGTGGGAGATGATGCATCTCTGGCTGTGCCAGGTCCCTGCCCCGCAGCTCCAGTCCCCTGCCCAGGCTGTGCCACGCCCGGAAGCAATTGCCTCATGACCTCCGTTTGCGTCTGAACTGTGCGGTGTCCCTCCTTAGAAGGCTTGGCCTGACCAGAGGAATAGTTAACAGCTGCCTTGAGCTTTGACTCATTACTTCTAGAAGAAAAATGCCTGGACATTATTTTCCTAGGAAAGAATTATCACTAAGAGGAAATGTGAGGATTTAGGGACAATAACAATTTAACAGGAAACCAGGACTGAACCCGGAGCAGGGACGGGTCCCTGAGTCAGATCAGCGGAAGGACACGATCGGCTCTGCCGTGAGCTACAAAGCAGTCTTTTCTGATCTTAGATACATCTCTTAAACTCGGTGTAAGTACCTTTTTGGGTGCAATGATGAGAGAGTTGTTTTATAAAAACTAGAGCTACTTTTAAATATTGTTTTCAGTTGCTCACAGCAAGTTGTTTTCTTAATCTGGAAGTGGGAGTTCTGAGTCCTGCTCAATGTTCTTTCTTCCAAAGCCCTTGTTTGCCGCAGGGAAGGCCCCATGCTCTGGCTCCCATTTGCGTGCCCACTTGTCCGCCCAGGCTGCTCAGCGGGACTCTTCTCCCCACTCACGTGGTGCCCAGGAAAAGGGAGACAGCACGGGTAGGGAGAGCAGGGACCCCAGTCAAAAGGCAGAGGGTGTCCCTACAGCAGATCACGGACACTCCAGCTGCACCCCGGGCCCCGTGGCTTGAAGGTGAGGGGTGGCTTAGGGCAGATGCCGGTGCCAGGTCTTCTGCTCACGGAAAAAATCCAGGGCACTTGGGCAACCATGCCCGGGCCCACAGGCCTGAAGAAAGGAGACACGCTTCCAGGCCGTCAGCGAGGCGATGACACAGCCGCACGCTGGCTCCCCCGTGAGAATGTATTGATCCACAGACTACAGGCAGCAGGCAGGGGCCCCAGAACATACCTCCACTCACAGCACAGAGTACGTCCAAACAACGGACTGCTAGAAATATTTTGTTGATTATTTAATAGCCATTTAAAAAGCATGAAAGCAGATAGACCATAATGAGCTAAAATGATCCGTTACTCAAACAAATGTAGCTTCGCTGTATGGTTCCCCCAAATTCTACTTCTGGGTATATATATACCCAGGAGAATGGAAATCAGTTAAATCAGATATTTGTGCATATGTGGTGTACATACCATGGAATATTATTCAGCCTTAAAAAGGCATGAATTCTGACATAGGCAACAACATGGATGAACTTTGAAGACATTATGCTAATGAAATAAGCCAGACATCAAAAGGACAGATATTATATGATTTCCCTATGTGAGGTGCCAGGAATAATCAGATTAACAGACGGAAAGGATGGTGGTTACCAGGGGCTAGTGGGAGAGGGGAGTGGGGATCTAGTGTTTCATGGGTACAGGGTCTCATTTTGGGAAAATGAGTTTCTGGAGATGAATGGTGGGGATGGAGGCACAGCAAGGTGAATGCACTTAATACCACTCAAAAATGGATGAAATGATACATTTTACATTATGTATATTTTGCCACAATAAAAAGTTTATCCATTAACAAAAGAAGTGAAAAACTTATAGTCCAAAAACTACAAAACTTTTTTTTTCATTGTTGGAAGAAATTATGGAAGACCTAAATAAACTGGAAGGCAGCACACATTTCCATGGGTCAGAAGACTTAATATTGTCAAGATGACAAGACAAATTGGTGTCCCGGACGGATCTACAGACTGAATGCGATCCCATCAAACCCAGGTTAGCGTCTGTGCAGACACTGACGAGCTGATTCTAAGATGTTTTTGGAAATTCAAAGCACCCAGGATAGCCAAAACATCTTTAAAAAGGAGGACAGAATTGGAGGACTACTCACACTTCCCAATTTCAAACTAACTGGAAAACTGTAATAATGAGGAAACTGGTGTGATACCGGCCTACGGTCAGACATATAAATCCACAGAATAGAACTGAGAGTCCAGAAAGAAACCCTCACATTTACAGTCTGTTGATTTCCCACCGTGGTGCCAAGACAATTCAGGGAGGAATGAACAGCCTTTCATCGCACAGGGCTGGACAACAACGGAATATCCACGTGTGAAAGGAAAAGAGTTGGTCGTCTAACTCACGCCATATCCCAAAATTGACACAGGTTAAAGATCAAGTGTAAGGGTGACACAAAACCGCCATCCACTTCTGGTGGGATCAGAAAACGGTGCAGACATATACACACGCGTGCGCACGCACACACACACACATACTCAAGCACACACATGTGTGCAAACACACACACATGCATGCACAGCCGAAGCCTGCAGTGCCTCCCCTGGCTGGGAAGAGTCACAGAATCTCTGATGTTTATAATGTGATTGAACTCCCCCCTTTCATTGGTGACCTTTGGTTAGGTTGAATCATTTCCTTTGGAAATAAAAGAAAATGCCTTCATTGTTTTTAACAAGTTCTCCTCATCTTTGAAAATATTTTGCAAAAAAACTATCTCTGATTTGGGAGCCTCAGACTTCCTCTAGGTTTTGTCTCTACTGACCTCAGCAGACCACGTGGGGTTGTTGGGAGAACTCTCCATGTACCGGGGTGTTTCCACAGTGGAGTTGAGGGCCCTCTCTGAGCTCACGCACTGCGGCCCCCACTTTGCCACTGGGGAGCTGAGACCCAGAGAGCATCTGAAGGCCTTGGCTGGGGTCAGGCAGAACAGGAGTAGCTGAGCAGAGAGTGGGGCCAGCCTTTTGCCACCTCCTTGAGCTGTTTTTCCCAGATGACCCCGTGTCGGCAGGAAGCTTTGCCCTGGGGCTCTCTGGCACCGCCGGCTGCTGCCTTGTGCAGTAGTGAAGCGCGTGGTGTCTGGGCATGAGCATCCCTGGTTCGAATCCCACCTCAACTGGCACCCTGAGGACTTTGACACGTTATTTATCCTTTCTGTGCCTCATTTTCCATATCTGTAAAATGGGAGTCACAGAGTTGTCACGGATGGAGTGGGTTAATTCATGTAAGGCCCAGAGCACGGAGCCTGCACGTAGTCAGTGAGGGTCCACGAGGACTTGCATCTCTCCCTGGCACTCCGTGTCGCACCCTGTGCCCTGGGAGTCCATATGCTGTGAACAGAGCCCTGACACTCAGATGATGGGACCCAGGTAGTGGGAAAGCTGCTCAGTCCATGGACAAGTTGGGGGACAGATGTCTCGGACCTGGGAGCTGGAGGAGGGCTCTTGAGGTCAGTGATTTCTGAGCATTCCTGATCCAAACACAGCCGGTTCTCCAGCCTGCCATCAAAGCTTGCTGGCCAGGCTGCCCCAGATGATCCCTTTGGTCCAATAAGAACCATCAGTGCGTTTTCTCAGTTACCGAAGCACTTGTGTATGTGCCAGGAGACGCCGGGCTGGAGGGTCTGCCCTGTGACATCGTGTTGGACAGCACTGCTGTCTGGCCAGTGGCCACACGGCGCTTCGGCCAGTGCGCAGTGCCGGGACCTCCTGCACCTGGACCCTCACGGCATGGGCAGCTGCTCTCGCCCTACCTGTGAGGGAAGGAGACAGGGCTCAGGAAGGCTGGGCCGCAGCTGGCAGTCCGTGGGAGCGGGAGGCACCGGGACACTGGCCCTGTGACCCAGGTGGCCTCGCCCTGCCCCTGTGTCCTGGCTCCTGTCACTGGGTTTCTCCCCGGCCACCCTTTCTGGAAGTTGAGCTGGTATTTAGCATCACTTCCTCAGATGAAGATGTCACTCCCAAAGAGGACGACTGACTCACAGATGACAGGCTTCTGGCACCTTGGCAGGTCACAGGACAGCCGCTGGTGTGGAAGCTGGCCCGTGATGACACAGAAAGACAGGCCCGAGCAAGCCCTGGGACTCACTCAGTGCAGGATGCCTGCCCCTCGCTGACCTCGGCTCCTCCAGCTGTGGGGTGAGAGGCTGAGCCGCACATGCCTGGGGGACTGCATGTCCTCAGAGAGCCACGGCGGCCCTGGGCCTGGGGACAGACCGGCTCCCCCTCCAGGTCACCTGGAGAATGTCACCTTGCTCCCCCAAAGGCCCTGAGACATGTCGGCCTTTTCACCCCACCCAGGCTTCCATTTGCCTCTTGCAGACTGAGAAACTACAAGGAGATCAGAGTTGGGTTCAACCCATGTCCCATTAGGAGAGGCGGCTGCTGGCTCATGGAGAGAACACGGGGGTCACGGTTCCTGCCCCCAAGGCCCCCGACCACAGCCAGTGGGCAGCAGAGCCAGAGGGGGGACACGGAGAGTGACGGCCCAGGAAGCGGGCAGGAGAGCTGCTCAGCCTGGACCCCCCAGCGAGCCAGGAGAGGCGGCACTGAGCACCAGGCCCACGGAAACAGAAAGTGGGTCAGTGCGGGGTGTTGGCCCTGCTGTGCATTTATGATATAAACAAATGAGGCAGCAACAACGGAAATCAGGGGAAAAGAACAAAAGTCACCACAGTTTCCCTTCTTAAGACATAGTTTTCCAAGTCTGCTTCCATGCCTGGTGACATTTATGCAGGGATGTTTCACTGTGGCCAGCGCGGTGCAGACCCATGTCTGAGCTCAGCTGCACTGAGTCAGCCCCGCATCCCGAGCACGTTTCCCTCCCTGCCGCACGCCTCCTGGGCTAAAAGCTGCCCAGGGCTCGCCAGGTGCCAGGGCCACCAGAAGTGAGTGCACAGCTTCCCAAAACCTGTGTGCCACCCGTTCTTACTGGCGTTCTTGGAAATGCTTATTCATTTGTTAAACTTGAACTTTGCTGTTATATTTTTTATTATTCCTGGCTGATAACTAGGAAAGGTGAACATGTAGCAATTCTCATGTTTGCTAATTACACCTCTTTGTGCTTAAATGATCTGCTGGGGGTCTTTGCCTTCCTGGACCAGCTGTGTGTGAACTCTGCATCCAGGGTGACCAGCCAGCCCGGCGTGCCCAGCACGGGGCAGACTTCTGGGGATGTTGGGCTCTCAGAGCTAAAGCCAGGCCAGCGGGCCGCCACGTCTTTACAGAAGAGGTTTGGGAATCATGCAATTAACACTCAATGCCTCCCTTTCCCTCCCCAACAAGCCTTCCTCTCTTTGGGGTCTGTAACAACGTGAACCAGCACAGCTGAAGCCCTTGTAAGAGTGGCTGGGACGTGGCTAATGCTCAGTTAGAGGGAAGAGGGTGCAGCGTGCTGATTAAAACTGTGGCACGGAGTCAGAGGGCCGGGGCTCAAACCTGCCTCCGTGGTTTCCTCCTGTGTGAAACTGAGGTGGCGACTACCTGCCACAGAGGCTGGTTCTGAAGGTCAGAGGGGCCGATGATGCAGGACAAGGAGAACAAGGCCTGGCCAACAGTGCGCCCAGTGTCGCCCACTGTCCACAGCGGCGGAAGCCGTAGAGCGTGGACCAGTGGCTGCTGTCACGGAGCATCTGCTGTGTGACAGGCACCCCTGGGGTGACCAGCTGGCCTTGTTTGCCCACATCTGGTGTGGGTTTAGCGCAGAAGGCCTTACATCTTGGGAATCCCTGGGCCCCAGGCAGACTGGCCGCCCAGACACTGTAAGAATCTCACTGCGCCATCCCAGCGCCCCTCTGCTTTGCACGTACAGGGCCCCCAGCAGGCACGGGTCAGAAGCAGAGGCAGGTGGCCCCAGTGTCTGCGATCAGGCCTCACCACTGGCTTCTTTGTGGGGAAGGCCTGGCTGCTGCCTGGCTCCTGGAGGCTGATGAATCATCTTTTCACTGTTTTCAAATTTTGCCCTGTGCTGCCTCCTTGTACACATATGCCATCCCCCCCAGAGCGTGTGACTTCTGCACGGGGGACGGGCTTTTGTCCCCACGAGGGCCCTGGGAGCCACATGGCCCTGACCATGAGGGACACCATTGGCTCGTGATCACACAAGCTGGCGATACCGAGTAGCTCTGGCCGTGTCAGCATCTCCTCTCCTCTTTCCTCGCCCTCTTCTAAGTGCAGTAACTGAGGGGTTGCAAAGGGCCCAGCAAGCCGAGAACAGGAGTGAAGGGCCGGCTGTCCTTCCAACAGTGCTTGGAAGAGAAACGAGACTGTACTCCATGCTTTAATTTGGGGAGGAAAAGCCGCCTGCCACCTCCACCACGGAGCCCGCAGGACCTGTGTCTGTGCAGCACCCCTCTTGCACCGTGACTAGGCTAAGCCTGTGGCCCGTGGGTGGGCTCGATTCAGACAGAGGCTCCTGAGAACACGGCCCTCCACCATTGCACCACCAGCCATTTAGGGCTGGCTGGGCCTCCGGCTTCCTGCCAGGATGCAAGCCCAGGGACAGAGACACCCCGGGCGGGATTTGGCCAGGAGTGAGTGCCGCCTCTTTCCCCTGAGAACCCACCAGCCTTCTAGTTAAACTCTCTTCAGACCCTCCTCCCATTCCCTCAGAACCCGGGGGCTTCTGAAAAGCAGGGAGACTGCCCCCTGCTGCTCGGCGCCTGCCCGTGGATGCAGCGAATCCCTGTTGCTGCAGACAAGGCTTGAGGGCTTTGGTCCTGTGCTGCCTGGGGCCAGGGAGCAGCTTGCAGAGCGCAGCCCCCCACCCCCTTTCTGCATCTCCGTGACCTGCAGTCAACCCCGGTCCAGAGGCAGATGACCCTTCCTGACATGGTCACAAGGTCAGTAGTGTCCTGACACCACGTCGGGATGCCCACCCCACCCGGCTTGCTCCTTCTCATCCCGCGGGCATGTCATCACCTCCCATTATCCCAGGAAGAGCATGTGCCGTACAGCAAGGCAGAGACAGACAGACAGACAGACAGAGCCCACGTACACACAGCCTCTATTGCAGCGTGTTGTTCCAATTGTTCTATTTTATTATTAGTCGTTGTTAATCTCCCACTGAGCTATATTACAATTACACTGTATCACAGATGTGTATGTATGGGGGGAAACAGTGTGTGCAGGGTCTGGTACCATCCGAGGTTGCAGGCATCCCCTGGGGTCCTGGCCCGCACGCCCCGTGGATGAGGGCCGCTGTGCAATGGCTTCACCTGGAGCAATTTGTAAGCAGCACGGTTTTCATAACCTTCTCCGGGTTTCTCCCCTTTTTCTTCAGTTAACAGAATAGTGATGAGTAATTTTATCTGACTTCATCATGACATCAACTGCCGAATCTCCTCCAGAAGCCCTTTGTCTGCTGGCTGCCGTTCAGGGAAGTGTGTTTATATTTACGTCTCGTTTATTCTCCCCCTGTGTGGATTGTGGCTTCCGGAAGAGAAGTAAATTCCACTTGAGGAAAAAATGGAAAACCCATTTGTTCAATACATGATAAACCCCATTTCCTCTCCTCTTTCTGAAGACGAGCTGTTAAATCCCGTGCCGGGACCATCCTGGGGAGAGAAACGAGAGGCTTTCTGTGGCATCTTTACACGTCGTTTCTGCCTGGCTTTTTATTTTGATCGTATTAATCTCGGCCGTGAGGCTCGCTTCCCG